TTGGAAGGACTGATGCTGAAGCTGAAACTCCAATACTTTGGCCACCTGATGTGAAGAACTGACTCTTTTGAGAAGACCCTGATTCTGGAAAAGATTGAAGGCATGAAGAGAAGGGAATGACAGAGGATGAGATGGTTGGCTGGCATCACTGACTCAATGGACTTGAGTTAGAGTAGGCTCCGGGAGTTGGTGATGGACAGGGCAGCCTGGCGTTGCATGGAGTTGCAAAGATTCAGACCCTACTGAGTGACTGAACTGAACTGAACTGAACTGATCAACAGGATTGTTCTTTGGGCTCAATGAGCCCACTTTTAAGTGTCTACATACAAAGGTCCAAAAAATTTATTGGGCTAAACTTCTGCGCCTACTTCTTTCTTTTCAACTGGGGAAAGGGCACAGATTGTGGCTAAATACTGGAGGAGGACATCCATATTTGCACTTCTTAATGGTAACTATGAATTCTCTGCTCAGAAGTGAGGACAGGGGCCCAATATTTTCTAGCATCATTTAGGGAGATACATATTTCTATTTCTCTTGAATCCCATTCACTCATAGCCTGGTCATCTTTTTCTTACATACTCTGCTTAGTCCTGCTCCTTACTTTTGTGCTGACTCTGCATCTAACCAAGAATCATTTACCTTCTATCTGGCCTCCCAGGTCCTACCTAACCCTCTGGCAGGGCCCATTTCAGTCACATCCCCTCTGTGAGGTCCTGCCTGCTACTTCCCACCTCTGGCAGCTTTCCCTGACTTAGTTTGTTCTCTTGGCATACATTCAGTGTGGACCATACTCTTCCTGGATCCTTCAGGGAGGAGGAGCACAGGCCACGAGGACAGAGGTCTGGTCTACTTGGGCTGGAGATTCTTCTATTGACTTTTATTGTTGTTCAGTCACTCAGGCATGTCCAGCTCTTTGTGACCCCATGAACTGCAGCATACCAGACTTCCCTGTCCTTTACTATCTCCCGGAGTTTGCTCAAACTCATATGCATTGAGTTGGTGAACACATCCAACCATCTCATCCTCTGTCATCCCCTTCTCCTCCTGCCCTCAGTCTTTCCCAGCATCAGGATCTTTCCCAATGAGTCAGCTCTTTGCATCAGGTGGCCAAAGTATTGGAGCTTCAGCATCAGTCTTTCCAGTGAATGTTCAAGGTTGATTTCCTTTAGGATTGACTGGTCTTTTGACTAACACGTTTTGAATTCCTACCAAAGGCCTAGCTCAGTGCAAAGTGCTGGAATAGACACTAACAATGTGTTAGGGACAGCTTTGAAAAGACCAAACACAATGAGAACTCTGCTGCTCTAGGTTTTGGCTTAAAAGAAGAGGGGGAACTTCAAGTCCTAGAGATTTAACCCTTATTGTCTGGATCTGTATGCATCTTCCTTTTTCTATTGCAAAAGCTTTAGTAATACACTAGTCCAGACAGGTTGTGAGATTTCCCCACATACATGCTGAGGAGCTTCTGCCTGCTGGTGTGGTCAGAGGACATTGCAGTGTGATGGGAAATGGGGATTTTACTTGAATCTTGTGGACTTCATGAATTTTCTAATAGAATAATCATAGTCAGTTCTTTTCGAAGTGGTGTAAATTTTTCAAAGTAAGAGTTACGTAGAACCTCAGTATATAAATGATTAAAAAGTGAGCTGCCCCAGAGAGTGTATGTTCTAGGAAAGGTTGGAGATATCAGAGTCCTGCCTCTTCAGTCTCCTTTTTCCTTCAGAATTTTGTTAATGTCCTTTCATAGAATTTAGAGGTCATGATCCATAGTGGAAAATGCAAGACTGAAAAAGTCTGCAAGGCCAGGTGGTGGGTTGTTATTATTTTTTTAGATGACTTCTCCAATCTACAATCCCCTTCAGGGAAAAAGAAACTCACATTGAGTGAGCTCTTTTCTTATGCCCATTCCTTTGTACACTTTATTTCATTATGTCTTCACGCTTACTCTAGGAAGTAGATTTTGATATACCCATTTCACAGATGAAGAAAATGAACCAAGAGAGATTCAGGATTTTGCACATAATAATCTATGTTTTAATGGTTTGAGCCAAGATTCAAACCCAGTATCTCTATTTTTAAAAAATATTATTTATTGATTTGACTGTGCCAGGCTGTAGTTGCAGCATTTGGGATCTAGTTCACTGATTAGGGATTGAACCTGGACCCTCTACATTGAGAGGGCGGAGTCTTACCCATCGGAATAGAATACCAGTGAAGTCCCAAATCCAGATCTTTCTAACTTTAGCATCAGAGCTTGTCATCACTTCCACCCTAGCACTCTATTTCTCCTGGAATGGTCACTGGCAAAGCTACTCTCAAGAGCATGGAAGGCAGAGGACATTTTTAAGATCACAACCCTTCCTATTGGTCTCTTTTGTTCCTTGGTCTGTGCCAAAAATGAAGGCCATTTGGTAAAGAACAAGTCCAGTGTCACACACACACGGTGAGTAGGTCACTGGTTGGGGTGGGGGTCAGTGGAAGAGAAAAGAGGGAAAGAGAGAAAGGGAGGCTCTAGGACTTGCCTAAGGTTAAAAGATCAGCATTAAAGGATATTAGATTTCCTACTTCAAAAATTTGCTTATAAGACTGACTTCAGTGAGAGTCCCATGTTTCTGGGGGAAAAGTGGATATTTTGCCAGCCCCAGAACCTGATGGTTTATATGTGTCCCAGAGATAGAACCCATGGGAAGTCTGAGAGATGGAGAAGGAAATGGCAACCCACTCCAGTATTCATGCCTGGATAATCCCATGGACAGGAGAGCCTGGTGGGCTGTAGTCCATGGGGTTGCAGGGGAGGCAGGCATGTCTTAGCAACTAAACAACAGAGATGGAACCCATGGGAGGTCTGGAAAATAGCCTCCTATTAGAGCTCTCTCTACATGCTCAGTCATGTTCGACTCTTTGCCACCCCATGGACTGTAGCCCATCAGGCTCCTCTGTCCAAGGAAATTTACAGGCAAGAATACTTGAGCGGGTGGCCATTTCTTCCTCCAGGGGATCTTCCCCACCCAGGGATCGAATCCGAGTCTCCTGCATTGGCAGGCAGATTCTTTTCCACTGAGCTCCTGGGGAAGCTCCACCTGTCAGAGCTGGTCATCTGCTGAAGACACACAAGGGGGGGCAAAGTTCTGCTCTGCCGACTGTCCTACCTGCCAAGTCCAGAAGCTGTTCTCTGGTGGGAGCCCTGAGAAGTGGCATCAGTTGGGGCCTCCAGTAATGCAATCACTTTTAATCAGCCTTTAATGAGAATATAAGCAGCCTCTGCTTACCTCTGTGGCAGAGAGGCAACTACACATAAACCTCAATTACTCAGACATTTAAAAATCAATTTCAAATAAAATG